TTCCAGTACAATCTAAATCAACAACAATGACCATATAGCAACTGCAAACTTTCAGATTTGTTGTATTTGCTGTTAATTGCACTGCAATTTTGTTGGAACACTTAATGAACACGTCAATAATAAAAACATTCAGCCTTGCATTCAACAGTTAGTTAACATCTCTCGTGTACCTGCGCTGAAGCCTGTATATTTATATTTACCAAGGAAGAGGCACAGGAGGTCTAAGCCGACCAGAAGTTTTCTTTTGGACAAAGCCGGTCCAGTTATCTCGATGAGTTTTTTCCCGGTGCCGTTCTCCATCCCCATCCCTGCTGCTGCTGCTGCTGCTGCGGCCAGGCTGCTCTTGTTGTCCGCCAGTCTGAGCTGGAGGTCCGCGCTGGAGACGCCGGCGCTCTGTGGCACAAATCTATCCAATATGACGACTATTGGCTCAGAGCGTACAAACTTGTTGGCGTCAGAAACCGTGGGAGAGTCCTCGAACTAAACGCTCATGAGCGAGGCTGCGGGGAGAGAGGGGACTGAGGTGTGAGCTGCCTCAGCACTTAATGCGCTTCCCTCCTCAGCACGTGTTGATTAGTTGTCAAAGTGGCATTTCCTTTTTACGCATTTTGGATTTCATCACAGAGTCTGCAGGGTGCAACGTCACCAGAAAGATATGCAGCGCATGGAAAAATCCTCACTGGTTGCAAAAGTCATCTCCTGGGGGTAAGGTCTCTCTCTCTCTCTCTCTCTCTCTCTCTCTCTCTGAGGTGAAACGCATCAATGCCTCACAGACGTGAGTGACGGTGATTGGCCAATTCTCCATAATTGACCTTTCACCTGCTTTTTAATTGAGAGTTATAATAGAAAGTTCGCTTTGCCTGACATATTTTGCAGGTCATATAGGATTGATTGCTGGCCCTCTCTACTCCCTGTTGTCTCCTTAATATATAGGTACAAACTTATGAGCATGCAACTTATTAAGTATTCAAGTGACATAATAACACAACATTAGCCTATGCAGTCCAAAGGCACAGGGTAGATAGGGGAGGAGACAGATGTCAGACCTAAAAATCCATCTCTTCAAGGTCTATGTAGCTTCATGGGCCAAATGAATAAATGAAATAGTAGAGAGACATCTGGAACAACTGCGAGAATAGTGTTTTTGATGAAGGAGTATCTGGTGCCTCAAATTGTGAAAATGGTTATGTGCAATAATTTATGATTTATGGGTCAGCTTTTAAGTGACCTATAGCTTATATTAACAATTTATTAACCACATTCGTTTGGGAAATACACATATTAACTCTCTTGCTAAGAGGTAAATCATGCGTGTACAATACAGGCAGCTGCTGGTTATAGCATAATGATAAAGATCCACATGATGACAAGGATATAGGGAGCGATCCATCTATCCAGAGGTAACTGGCCAAGTAGGGTATTCCAGACATCCATCTCCCAAACCATGCTCCCCAGCTCTTCCTGTGGTATCTTGAGGCGTTTCAGGCCAGACAGGAAATGTAGTCCCTCCAGCGATTTGAGGTCTACCCCTGGGTCTGCTCACCATTGGGCATTAAACCTCCAACGAAAGGCGGTCTGGAGGCTTTAGATGCTAGAACCACCTCAACTCCCCTTTCTGACCCTTTTGAATCTTTGGTATTTTTTAATTTTTATTTATTTTAACAAATTCATTTTATATCACATCTTTGTCAGACAATCCCACCTAATTTCCTCTTTTTTTCTATTTCGGGAAAGTGAAGTCGGAGATTTGGCAATTGAAACTTAAAGGTCCAGTATGTAAGATTTAGTTGAAAGAGATCAATTGAGAGAAAGTGAATGTAAAATAATCCTTGTGATGTTTTCACTAGTGTGTTTCAGCTAAATTGTATGAATCTGTTGTTTTCTTTACCATAGAAAGGGCCCTTTTTATTGAAATACAAACTAAACACCTTTTGAGTTTTTATGACAACTGAAGGTTTCCGCAGGTTCTATTTCACTTTTGGAAGGAGAGGGTGAGGTGAGGGGTATCCAGCTGCAACATGAAACTTCAACACTATATGTCACTAAATATTACACACTGAACCTTTAACAGTCATGGTAGTTTGGGTTTCCATTTCACAGTTTTGTAAATAAGACAAAGTAGTTTCCAGTGTTGTAAGTGTAGTTTCATTATTATGTATATGAGTGTATGGAAATGTGTTGTAATTTAGCTTTGAGTGGAGAGGTGCACTTGTTTGCACTTGTTCTGAGAGCTGCTATGCCTGCAGCTGCAGCAAAGCTTTTAGGACAAAAAGGTTCTCTCCTGTAGGGGGCAGTAAACGCACCACCAGGGGAGGTTTTCATTTGTCTCTGCTGGTTGGCCATTTGTGCTTTCACATCTGTATGTTGGAAAACAGAAATAGTGAGCTAGCCACTAATTCTCATGTGAAGTGAAAACAGAGTCAGTGACGTCCCAGTTAGAAAACCCAGCACATCACAATAGTTTCTATTTTGTCACAAAGGCCAGTACGTAATCCTGACCACAGAAAATCCGTGTGTGTGTTTACATTCATAGCTTTACTAATTAATTGCCTTCAGTGAGTCTTTAAATTATTTTTGAAAAAGATCTCCTTTGGTATTTCATCATTGTCAGGAAGGGGTATGATGCCCCATGTATAAACTGACAAAGTAATTACATTAATATACCACAATACAGCACAGCCCCTCGGTGACTAAGGCTGTATGTCAGATTCTTTGATGAAAGGTTGAAAAGCAGAGTCCTGAAACGATGTTTTGATTTCTTTAACCAACTGCTGACTAATCAAAACTTATCATTAAAAAACACTATTATATTAAGCACACACGTACACACACATGCTCCAGCACTCAGGATACAGCAATATAAAGCCAGAGCATGTTCTTATGGACAAAGTGCTGCTGTTTCTTGGCATGATTGCACTTTCATAGCCAAATATGGAAACTTTTGTGGAATTTATCTTTATGTGTGGTTGCGGCTGATCGTATTCTGACAGTTTGTATGTGTGTGGTCAGTTTCGGAAAGGAACACTTTTTTTTTGGGCTGCAGGAGCACATGACTGTCATTCTGTCTCGCAATGATAAACATCTCATTTTTTCTGTTTCATGCTGACTTCCCCATCCATCACCCACACACAAACAGTCCCTGCAAATTTTCTAACCAGCTGCTTCAACTTGTCATTCCTTGTGATATTTTAATTACTGAGGCACTTTTTGTAATATGTGTGTCATAAGCTTACATTACATCTTATGGGAAACTTAAATGTGGGGGAGGAATTCAAATTTACCTGTATATTGCAATATTCCAAACATTTTGTGTGTGTGTGTGTGTGT